TTTTTGTGTGATTTTTATAAAATACCGTCTAAATGTTCTTTTCGAAATGTAATCGTGAAAAAGGTCATTTGGCAGGAGTGTAATTAAGTAGCAAGCCATTCTAATACACAGTAGTTTCTACCAACAGATTTTCTCTCTGCTCCTCTGTGGTAGGGCTAGTTTTGAGATGTGAGTGGTAGAAACTGCTGAAAACAGCATTTAGTCGTAGAAGTTGCTATTATTTTAAGTTATTTCCTCGTACAAAGTTCGGGGCTTATAATTTTTAAACCAATGCCTTAGATGGAGGCGAACGAGTTGTGTGTGTCGTATGACGACATGAAATTTATAACCGTTTTGATTGTTAAGGAAGTTACGATCATAAAATTGTAGACTGATATTAGGAAAAAGTCACTTTTAATACTTAAAATACAGTATTTGTGATTCAAGGATAGGTGCAAATAGATGGTGATGGGTAAAAAGTGATGAACACTAGGCAATTAAGCAGTTATCATCTCATAGTGATTTTAAACGTTTTTTTTCAAAAATTTTTGAAATTACGCTTCAGAAGTTATTTCCGGTAACAAGGGAAAATTTTTTTATGGAACAATGCGGAGGCGATATTTGAGTTTTGAGCTTGCAAGAGCCTATAAAATAGTCAAATTGTAAGTTACTTTTCATCGGTAGTAGAAAGAAGCCATATATATATATATATATATATATATATTTTTTTTTAATTTATGAATAAGCAAATTTTGGTTTGCTCAGTGACAGTTTAAGCATTTCATTTATTGCATTACATAGCGTCGTATAGTTTCAGTCAACATTTGTTGGTTGGTATAAAGCCATCATAGCCTTAATTTTCATTTAGTTATCGCAAATAAACGGGCCATTGGACGGTACAAAACTACCGTTATGGATTGTTAAAACCTTCGGTTTTAGAACATCCGACCTTTAAACCCTTCGTTCCAGTAACTTTAATTTTCATTTCCTTTATTTTCAAGCTCTTTGTTGCTGCACAAACCACAGTCTGTTTGACTTAACAATCAAGTTTTTTTTTACTTTTTTTTTGTTTTATTTTGTTTACTCATTACTATTTTATTTCAAATTACTTTTATGAATACAACAAACAGTTAAATTTCTGCAAACTTTTGCTGTCGTTTGATAAGACTGAAATGACAAAATGAAAAATTTCCTCAGTTACCTCTTTCTGCTTTTAAAATAAACAACAACTTTGAAATAAGAAATAAAAAGTTTTAAAAAACCTCTTCAAACCTATTCCATGGCTTCTGATACTGGTTTCAGTAGTGTTCGATTGTATCAATCAAAATTTTGAAACCAGAAAACGTTATGCCTATTGTTTCTTCGTTTTTTTTTTTTCAATTATATACAGTAATTATGGAAGATATAATTTAGATGTTGACTATAAGTTGATATTTTATCAGCAGCATTAACTTTATAATCGTATTTGAATGAAATTGGCATAAAAAAAAAAGAAGTTTTCTTAAAAATTTACATTTTTATATGAACAATTTTGACATGCAACAGTTTATCCAAAAAAAAAATTTTCTCACTGTATTACCGCATATTTCAGACTAACCTTTCTTTGTGGTTTACAAAATATCTGTTTAATTTATTATGAACATTAAAAATATCATCTTAATCGTTGGAATTTTTTGATGTTATCGCTTTATTAACCTCTTCTTTTTTTTCCTAGTTTATTTTTACATTTTTTTTTTTGCTGTTAAAGTTGTTCTGAAAAAAAAAAAACTCCTAAAAAAAATATTTTTTTGGAAGTAATTTTTGTTACTATTTGTTACATTTGACTTTAATTGTATGCACTGTTTGTTCAATTAAATATGGACTGTATATTTGATAAACTGACAAATTAATTTGATTTCAACCATTTGAACAGGTAACAAACTATTGAAAAGATAATACAGAACAATGTATACAATTTTGGTAGCACTGATCTTCTTTACAAATCAGTGCTGTACAAAAGCACAAAACGATGAAGTTTGGTACAATAACAGTTTGAAAGGACCCAAAATGCAAAAAATTCAAGTTGATCATTTTTCGTATACAGAAAACGAATTTTTGGATATCAGGTAGTGCTTACTAACTGTTTATTCAAATACAGTTTACAGTTTTGAATAATCATCTTAAAATTACTTCTAATTTACTACCAATACAACAATGTTTCATCATTTTTCGCAGCTATTACGAGAGTAGTTTTCGAGAAGACAAGCCAGAAAAGTTTGATCAACCGTTGTTCCTCTACATTGGTGGTCAAGAAAACATTAAATCTTACTTAAAACAAAGGGTACGTCTTAGATCACTTTCTTTGTAATTAGAAGAGAGCAA